TGACCCTGCTCTGGCAGGGGGGTTGCAACAGATGATCTTTTGAGGTCCCTTCAACCCTTATGATTCTATGATTCCTGTTTGTAGTCAGCACTTGCCCTTTTTCCAATTGGTTTTGCACTTGTGGGACCATCCAGGTGTACACACGTTAACAAATGCACTCTACAGTTGTAACTTCACAGCACACATAAAAAAAGTAATGGGCAGTAGCAGTGGAGAACTGCTAATATTAAACTGGGTGACCAAGAACGTATTTTGGCCTGAACTTCATGATCTTCACATTTGCTTGGGTTGTGTTTGGGTTTTTTTTAGCCTAGTAAAACAGAATAGCTGTTATTTCAAATAGTTTGTTTTCCCATCCTTTTGGCCCAGCTCCATACAGATTTTGTTTAATGAAAATAAAAGCCAGGTTTTGCCAGGAAGTGTCCTTCAGAGGTAAGTGATTTCTAATTTTATAGTTGTGTTAAGTCTGTAAGTTTTTGTTGTTTGTTTTTTTTTTTTTTTTGTGGAGAATTAAAACATCAACTTCTAATATTCAAGCAGAACCAGGATCGGAAGCACAGGACGTATGTTTATGTTCTTACTGTGACGGAAATACTGGAAGACTGGGAGGACTCAGTTAATATAGGTAAACCCATTCTCTGTCTTAATGTGCTACACTTAACATGTATTAAGCAAACATTTCATCTTCTGCAGCAATTAACATTATTTGGGGGGCAATACTGATTCTGTTCTATAAACTGAAATTACTGGAAATTGTGGTGCTGTTCTTCCACACTTTAGTAAACACATAAGAAGGGCTACTTCCAACATACTGTGTTAGTCTTATGTTACATTAATTAGGGTGTCCTAATTATTATAGTGGAATAAACTTTGTTGTTAGTTGCTGATACAGATCTTATGTTTTTTTTAAAGGCGAAATAGTATACTGACAGATTTTTTTCCTTGAAAAGAAGGATGTTTTGCTACTTGGTACTCTAAGGTGTTCCTGAAAGTCTTTCAGGGGGGAAAAAAAAAAAAATCTTTGAAAAGTTTTTATGTGGCTTCTTTTTCCCATGAGTCTCCTAGGGGGGGAAAAAAAAATCACTAGTATTTACTTTGACCTTAGCCTAATTCTTCGTTAATGTTAGACCTGACATTGAGAGATTGTTCCTGTAGTATAGATACCACTGTCATGCAGTTTAGTTAGATTAACATTCTCTTTGATGTTGTATGGATCTTCCACTTCAAATTTAATTCGGTAAATACTAACTGGTTTTGTCTCTAAGTGTTTGGTTTTTTTCTTAAACTTAGTTAATTCACTTTTTGTCCAGCAGAAATTTTAGTTAACTAAGAATTGGTGTTAAGAATGACACTTTACCTTGATTGGTTACACTTTGCCCTTTTCAGGAGGTGATCATTTAGCAGTGCTAACATTCATAAACTTGGCACTTTTGACCTGTCAGCAAATGGCAGGTAACTGTAAGAGTAGTTTCAAAGCTGCTCAGTTTTTCAGGTAAGAGAATGTTTTGTTTCCAATACTATCAAGCTGTGGGGAATGCACCCTCTTAATTGCATGTCAGGTTCCCTATCTAGCAACACCGATTAGTGGTCTGTTACTGAAGAGGACCTATATTGGTAGAGGTGGGATTGAGGGATATCTTTTTTGTACCTGGAGCTGTGCAGGGACTGTGAGGGCAGCAGCGCTCTGTTCCCACTTAGTGCCAAGTTGTGGGATAGAGGGGAACATCCAGCACTGCGGCTACTGCTGGCTTCCTGCTGGAGAATTGCCTGCAGTGGGTGAACAGCCTTGGTGGGGCCACATACCTTGGTCCTAAGACATCTACAAACTGTTGGCTTGATAACGTTCAAGCATGGTACCTGTAACACTGTAAAACCAAAATAAAAATAGAATTAATCCCACTTCTAACAATGATACTTGACCTTGTCTGTAAGTATTTTCAGAAGCCTCTAATTTTCAAGGGCTTGTATAAGAAAGATATTCTTAGGACTGTCTTGCTAGGATAGATCTTATCTGAATATCTCTAGTGTAAGGCACATTGTTTTAAAAAACTTTCAGCTAACCTGAGTAACTCCATACACAGATGTTTTAAAGTATAGAATGCTGCTTTCTATATCAGACCAAATCAGTCGTCTTCTGTAACTTCAGGCATGCATGTTTGTTTGTCAGATTGTCATGCCTAGCAGAAAACCAGTGTAGGAAGGTGTTATCAAGTCATTTAAATAAGAATACTTTTTTCTATAAGGACTAGATGTGGGTTTTGGAGCATATGAACAGTCATAAGAGCTTCTGTCCAGTATCTGCTTCAAGCAAGTTATCTGAAAAGCTTTATATAAAACTGCATTTCAGTAAGCTTGAGCAAATCTCTTGTGTTCATTCTTTCAAGGTCTTTTCCTTCTGTATCTCTTGCTTGACAGCTCAAACTTCTGAAGTAAAAGAAAACAGAAAAAGTGAATAATGAGATAGCAACAAATTGTGCTGTTAAAAATTTCTAACTCTGTTTTCCCTTGTGGATTATACTCCTTCAGGAAGGAAAAGAGAATGGTTTAAAGTAGAAGATGCAATCAAGGTCCTTCAGTGTCACAAGCCGGTTCATGCAGAGTACTTGGAAAAACTGAAACTGAGCTGTTCGCCTACTAATGGAAACTCTGTGGTTCCCCCTCTTCCAGATAATAACTCCTTATATGTCACTTCTTCACAGACTTCTGGGTTGCCCTCTACTGTGAGATAAACATTTGGATTACCTTTTTTCATGTCACCACAAGGGGAGACATCTGTGATCATGTGTAGGCGTCTGTATAACTGTCCATTCTAAGTGAAATATGTGAATGTGTCATGTCAGTTTTATTTGAACATGTTTTCCCTTTTTAACAATGTAAAATAGTGTTTCAGCAAACCAAAGCCATATATGGATTTTTTTAAGATGCCTTAATAGGCCATTTTTAAGAAAAAAACAACAAAACTTGACTATATAAATTTCCATATCTGCTAAAATAAAATAAGCATCTCAGTGGTGTTCAGCTTATTTAAGACTTGTCAGTTTTAATGAGTAGTTCCACAAGTGTACTTGCTTAGAAAAAAGCTTGAGCAAATAGTCTTATACTAACTTTTATTGGGTATCCCTAGATGAAGTGCCGAGAGCTTAAGCTGGCAGTATTTGGGTAAATGGGTGTGTTGAAGTTGGAGATGCAGGTGTGACTACAGTAAAGCACTAAACCATGTTCAGCCCTTTGAGGCCAAGGCAACTGACACTAAGCACTGCTTGCCTCAGTTCTCCTGAAGGTTGCTTTGTCCTATGCAATCTTCGTGTAATGAATAATTAGAGCAAGAACAACTTTGTCTTGCAGCTACCAAAACTATCCACTGTACTTTTGTTTTGTCACTTGGTCAGCTGATGTACTGTCAGAAGACTGAAACGAAAGGCATTGTAGATCCCTCTTCCCCCATTTTCTTCCTTTTAGCATGTTTTGTTCGTGGTGTAATTGCACTGCAGGTTCTAAAACTTATAATCTTCAATGAGAGGCCACTTACATAGTGTTCCTGCACTATGCTAATTGAAAAATGTTTAGAGGAAACTAAGAGTTACCCAAGGGGCAACCTTATGTTCCAAAGGTGTCTCTTACAAGCATGTGTTGAGGTATCTTCTTCAGCAGGAGCTAGTAGTGGTACCTCCTGGGCTTGCAGACAGGTGAATTGCTTACACTAGTGGAGTAATGATATTCCATTGTCTTACTCAGGTGTGCTGAAAACCCCAGTTTTAATTTTTAAATACTTCTGTTTTACTGTTTCAACATCAGTTGCTTTAGCTTCTTGAATTATAAGCTGGCCTCTTGATAAAATCTTAGTTAGAATAAATGAGGTACAGCTGACAACTTCCTTAAGTATTTTCTCCTCTTTTTCAGCCAAAAAGATGAAAACTAAATCCACTGCTTGTCTTAATGTTTTTACCATAGGATTACTCCATGTATGTGTATATGGTTTTGTCTACAAGAACACAATCTAATTCATATAAGCATCCTAATTCTGATTTTTTTTCTAGGATCTAAACCCAACTGTACCTCCTCTATTGCCAGCCAAAACAGCGGCTGAGGTAAACCATTACCTCACATGTCATGTTTATTCTGGGTAAAGCTCATTCTCTTACGCAACATTTGAACCTTTGTAAATAGTACAACTAGTAAATAGTGAGTGTAAAATGGAAAATAATTTAAACCTTTTGTTACTCAATACACAGATGGTTAACTTCTACTTTTTTAACACAAATTGTGTAAAATGCTGCTATGAATTTTTTTGTGCTGTTACACTTTTCTAGGAAAAAATGTTGTTGCCACAAGTTACTCCTTAGAGAATCAATTTTGTGCCATATGTAAATGCAGTGAAACTATGGAGACAGGTGCTCTGATCTCTTGATGCTGCTCTCTTTGAAGAGGCATAAATACTACTGAAAAGAGGCATGAGCCATGAAGCTGAAGACTTTTCAGATGTGGGGTGGGATGCCCTTTTCAACCTCTGTGTCCTGTTCCAGGTGACTTCCAGAACTGGAAAGAACTGTCCATTTACTCGTAAAGGTGGAAGTGTTGCCAGCAGCTTTTCCATCCCTCGGGTTATGAGCTGGGGGCTGGGGAGGGAGCGTTGGTGTTTCAGTAGTGCACACAAGCATGTGCACATTTTATGCTGTGCTTAACCAAGATGGGGACACCATTTGGAAGGGGACAGTTCTTTTAAACTGGACAGTCATCAAAAGCACTGTGCTGCCAGAATAAATGGAAGAGGGTGGAGTTGTGCATCTTGAAAATGTCTAGTTTTCGTTAAAATCGTACCCACACTGTGTAAGGGCACCTCTGGTTCTGAAGCTCTGCCTTTAAAAGAGTGAATCATTTGGCTCCCTTTTTTGATCACTTTCCTCACTTTTTTGTTCAGTAGTCATTTTAAGACTTTAAATTGAGCAAACTTGTACAGGCTTTCTTGTAACAAGAGTATATAGAATCTATGAAAACTTAAACAAGAATCCAGAGTTCTTATTCATAAAAAAAAAAGGCTTCTGTCTCCATTTCAGATTCTTAGAATGAAACCAGTCCAAGCTTGTATGAGACTTAGTGGTAATGCATGATCTTACTTTGTAACACTTGAATTATGTATTTGATGATAATGTAAAAATGTACAGTATTGCTGTTGCTAACAAACTCAGAGTTGATTGCCTATAAATATTTTGGTTATTTTTTGGTCACACACATTTGAGCTGTTCAGTAGTGCCAGATGTTATTTTTAAGCAGCATTCATTGTATAAAACTTCAGTCTCTATGCAACCTTCAGAATGAAACTCTCTTGCTTAGTTTTGACTTCTACTCCCTTTCAAAGATAAATGTTCTGTGAATAGTAAAGGTAATTGAAAGCACTTCAGTTATGCTACAGTGAACAGCCATAGTAAATGGGCAGCAGTATGGCTTCAGTCCTAATGAAATGACACTCAACTTCAACAAAAAAGGGACTGTAAAAATCAGACTAGGAAGGCTAAAGTGTTTTTCTACTACCTATAAATTTATATGTAGAAGTATTTTTAGGCTTATATGCATCTCTATTTAGAAGGGCCAAACCTATTCCATACAGAGCAGATTTGGTGTTTTTCTCATGGCAAATTCTGGACAATTTATTCAGATTTAGTTCTTCAAAGGAGAATGGGAAGAGACAGGTTGTCATCTGCAATTTTCAAGAAGTCTGTAGTTTGTGCTGCTGCTTTTCCAGGCTGTTAGGTTTTGAGATTATCCATGAATTAAATTATGATGATATCAAATATAAATAGCCTTAAAGTTTAAAAATCATGTGGAGCCAGAGTTGAGTGAAATGGATGTGCTTCTAGACATCCAAGAAATACTGAGGTATTGCAGAGAGGCTGTTAAAGTGAAAATCTTGTCTTGGTGCTTACTGCACCATTGACTTAACCCAGCATTGGTCTGTTAACAATGTGCTGTGGAGAAAAGAGAAGAAAAAAAAAAAAAAAAAAGAGGCAAACACTTGGTTTACTTACCAACATGGTTTGCGAAGTGAAAAGTGAAGGGAAGGGGTGGGGGTGGGTGGGAATGGGGGCATATTAAGTTGTAAACATTTTGACCTGCTTGCATGGATTTTCTTTAAAGACTGATGTAAGAATTTTGACTTTTTATATTTGAGAACTACCAGAATAAAATCTAAATTAGTCCTGTGGATGATGTAGTCATTCTATTGCAAATCTTGGAAATGTTTGTGCAAGAATCTTCAATCCCATCTAAAATAGGCTGTTTCATCTAATGCCTCTTATTTCTTACCTTACCCTTACACTCTAGCTTCATCTAGATGTGTCAGCGAGCCTTCTGAAGATCTTGTCCCAGTGCAGCAGCCCTCACTGTACAGGGAACTGCTGCCTCTTCCAGTGAGCTTTCTTTCTACTTTCATCTTTATACCTGCCAGTTATGGCACAGATACTGTCACTGTTATTGTACAGATATTAAATTGTGGTGGGTTAACCCTGGCTGAGCAGCTGATGCCCATCAATCTGCTCTATCACTCTCCCCCCTTCCTCTCATGCCACAGCATAAAAAGGGAAGGGAAAATAAGATAGAGACAGAAGCCTTGTGGGTAAACAAAAGGGCAGTTTAATTGGAAAATGAACGTTAAGCAATGCTGCGTGTGGAACCAAAGAGGAAAACCAGACTTATTCTCTACTTCCTGTCAGCAGGTGATGCCTGGCCTTCCCTGGGCAGTAGGGCTCCAAACGTGTAGCAGTTGCTCTAGAGGACTGAGGAGTAGCCCTCCCTTGTCCTCCTTTGTACCAGCTTTATAGTTGAGCTGATGTCATGTTACAGAATATCCTCTTGGTCAGTTTGGGTCAGCTGTCCTAGTTATGTTGCTCCCAAGCTCCTGCCCCCCCCATCCCTTTGTGGGGGGAATGTTGGTGCTGTGTGACCACTGCTAAGTGGCAGTCATAACATGGGTGTTACCAACACCCTTCTGACTCCCGGTGCAAAAGCACTGCACCAGGGTGTCGGCACGGAGCAGCACGGAGTCCCCAGGCAGGTGCAGAGGAGGAACTTTATTTACAAAAACCCAGCCTTTTTATGCCGTTAGTCGACCATTAGTTTACATACTTTTTAGGCACAACAAACCCACTTGAACCAACCACCAACCACCACGGTGCAGGCACGCGGCATGGCTCGCCTCCTCTACTCCAGCTGAGTCACTCTCCCGGAGCCCTTCCCTGCTGAGCCTAAGTCACAGGCCGGAGCCGTGATTTTACCAGGCCTTCCCTGACAGAGCTGTACCTACCGGCTACACACCAGGAGAGCTGCTATAAGAAAATCAGTTCAGCCAGACCTGATACATAAATACACATCTGCATCAGGTCCATCTAGCCCCCTCCCTCCTTTCCAAGAGTGCCTGTAGGCACTACTAAAGCTTTCCACTCCCCAGCCAGGCACAGTTTCCTTGTGCTATTACAAGGAATGGATTTCTTTTCCTTGAACTTGACACCACTGCTCCTTTGTACATCTTTAATGCTGACCCTAGCCTGGAAAGTACTGCCAGAGCTCAGCCTGCTGCTGCTGACCCACCTCCTCCTTCTCTCATTTTCTGAGGCTACTTCCTTCAACAGTGTTTTGATAGTGAGCAGTGACTGTTCCATCTCTCTGTATGACTTGTGACAAGCAGCCAGTTACCACACATCCTTTGCCTCTCCAGATTTGAGTTCTACTGTAGCTGGGTCTAGCTCCTATTAGAATATCCTCCATGCATCAAAACTCTGTGTGACACACACAAGTAGGGGCAGAGTGTTTGTCAAAGTACAACACACAGAAGGAAAGGCAGAATAACTGACTTTTCCAATACTCAGAAAAGAGACAATCTTCAAGCATTTAAGGTCCACACCAAGAATGGTGTCACCTAACCTGCAAACTCCACAGCTTGTGGCAACCCAAGTGCTACTGTGGGCCACGCACCACCCAGAACAACACTCTCAGACAATTTTCTGTCCCTCAATAACCAGGAAATGCTGTTCAAAGAGCTACTCTAGCAAGGGTAAGAGCCCACTGACTGAGCCTGAGGTATCATCAGCTCTCAGTTCCTGATGGTGCACAATGAACTGTCAGTGACAGCACTAGTTCCTGGTACCTTTCCCTCATTATTTGTTGCCACCAATTCTGATGGGTGGACAGTAAGCATTTCCTGCTTTCTGAGTATACCACTAGCACAACCTGTCTTTGAACAGGCAGGCAAACACCCACAACAGCCGAAGAAAAATACCATCAGAATCAATTACTGTGTCTTCTGAGATTAGCCTGCCTTTAATAACTCTACATGAGGCATAAGACCACAGACACTCCTGCATAAATTTATCAAAACCCATCCTAAGCCTTCAGGGTTACCTGTAATAATGCTGAGCAGCTGCTGGGACAGCCACAGCAGCAGTACTTCTGAAGGCCAAGCAGGTGTTTGGGCCAAGATGAGCACACCTGACACAGTCATTTTGGGACTGTTTCTCCCCGGACACCAACTCCCAAAAGGCAACGAATCCGGAACTTCCGGTGACGTCACCCTAGGTGCCGGATTTAAGTGACTTGCAATCTCTGTCTCCTTTCCCTTTTTTCTTTATTTTCCTTTACCAGAATAAATTTTGTTTTGAACTATATATATAAACACACATCTGATCTCAAGACTGATTATTGAGCGTGGTGAGAAGATATACTCTGTTTCCCCCGAGTTAAAAATCACAAACAACCTGACCCGGTGCCCCTTCAGTACCGGATTGTGACACACAGCAAGCAGCAGCTGAACATCACACATTGGATCTTTCAGGTTTATAACTGACCTTGCAAGCCTGTCTACAGAAATCATGGGACATGAGCCCAGGTACCAGTCAAGCTGAGAGGTGCAGATTAGACCTGAACCAAAAATACACCTTTACAGCAGCACTGACGCCAAGAGTCCAGCCTAGACTAGAGTATCTGAAACACAATTTTGCAATAAATAATCTGGTCAGAGATGACTTTCCCATGTTAATTAACTTGTATTTTCTTTTTTAACAAATACTAATTAAAATATTTCTGTTACATGCCACAGATGCCTTGATCTCTTCATCTGGGAAGGCTCATATGGTGCAAGGCACAGAAACTGCAGGTACTGGCCCTCCCAGCACTCTCTACCTCGAGGGTTCTTGAGTATTCAGTGTCCCAGTGATGGTCTGCGGTGACAACTCCCTAGTAACAGAGCCACCCAGATGACTCATCTCAGGGTGTAATTCCCTTTCCTAACACAGGCCATCCAGTGACAGCTTCCACCACCACAGGTTTCAGCCTTAGTTATCTGCCCTGCAGACAAGACAATGGTCTACTTGCTCACACCTAACCCCTTACCGTAACCACTGAGGAGGGTTTACAAAAGCAAACCAGACGGACAAAGTCGTTACGCTGCCTGATGCCACTCTTCTAACGTACTTCAGTGCAACGTAACCATTAGGTATTTGCTTTAAAAATCTTCCTGCACCTGCCTTTGACAGGGAGGATGGCAACACACAGTACAAAATCCAACATAGCAGAAATGAAATCGATAACTTCGCACCACACTCATAACGTAGCATGGTATAGCAAAGATTACTACATCAGTTTGATTGGACTAGAAACCGTCCAAATTGTGCTCTCCAGCAAGAAAATCTTGTACTAAACCAGGCAGATTTAAACACAGGCAGGCTAAAGGAAGAAGAATTTAAAAAAGCATCCTTTAAGCTTGTGCATCAGAAAGTGAGTAATGAGAAGTCCTCAATGTTTATCTTCCAGGTTTTAAGGACTGTCAGAAAACTGGCACCCTGATGGCAGCCCACTGCCGTTAAATGAAGCTCAGCATCTGTAATGAATAATCACTCTTCCTTTTATTTCAGTGTCATATTACATTACAGTCAAGACATGTTAATGACAAAACCTATCAGACATTTTACTTTAAGAGTAACCCTCAAAAAAAAAAACCCAAAACATAACAACCAAGAAGGAATGTACATAAACTGAGATGTCACAATTTTCGATGTTACTAGTCCATTAAGATGTTTTACAATAATCTCAATGTGTTGGAAATACACTTTCTTGAAAGCTATAGAAGCAACATTTCACTTGGCTTAGACTAAAGTCAGCAAAGGTACAAAAAAACCTGTTCCATCAGTTCCCAGTGACGGCACACTTCACACCCATGACAGAATGTTAGAGACCACTACCGAATGGTTACGCACAAATGAAAGCCTTCCAAATCCTCCACTTGATCTAAAGGAAGCTTTTGCAAAAGTCTTTTGTATGGTCGGTTCTAGTGTCCCTGTCATGACCCAAGGCTCAACAGCTACACAGTTACGATCCAGACACTAACACATAAAATGCAATGTCACCACTCTTGCTCAGGATTGCAGGACATTTGACACACAGCACCAATAATGCTAGAGGAAAACCATTTATTTAAAATTTAATGTCAATTTATCCAATGGACATCCACTAAAAATTAAGATAAAACTAACCCTCCCTCAAAGATAGCAGCTGCATTTGTTAACCAGCTGTAACTTTGAGTTTCAGGCAATGCCTGAATATATACCTGCTCAACCAAGGAAAAAAGTTCTGTCTAAATGGCTGCAAAGAATTTAGCCTAAAAGTTTCACAAATTCCTTGGCATAAGACAGAATTGAATTCCCAGCTTGGCTTTATATGGGGCTTAAATCAGGTTTAAAAGTTAAATATGTATTGTTTAAGCCTTTTAACTTTGATGGTCCATATTAAAGTATGCCTGAAGAGACCCCTCAACAAACAAATTGTAGCTTTCAGGAAGCCCATATAAAATTTCCTTCATAACAACTATCATTTGAAAATGCCCTGAAGAGCTCTAACACACAGTGTTTTTCTTATCTTTTTACAGCGTTCATTTCAGATAGACCGTTGCTACGGACTTGTGTTCAAGCTCAGAGAGCACAGACTCCTGTGATAAAATCTCCAATTTGTGGCAATACTTCAAGAAAGAACCCAGACACATACTGGCTACTGCGTACTCAAACAGTTCCATAATCCACTACTCAGTCACTAGCAAAAAAGGAGGCAGAGGATTTTTTTCCTATTAAAATATTATCAATATTCCATCAAGAACTTTGAATCAGCAAACAAATCAGCTCTGATTAGTTGCAAACTCTAGCTGAGTTTTAAGCCCCAAACGTACAAATATGCAGCCGTGTGCTAAACGGCCTTGGGTCTAGATTCATCCCACCTAGTCTAAAGATAAACTAAGTGCCAGTTCAGGTCCCATTTCTCTACCAAAGGAAGGGGAAGCCACGTTCAGAGGGGGTGCCTTAGGTGGGTCTGACCTCCAGGGGTGCCACCTGTCCTCGGACTAGAGACAGAGCTGATGGAACCGTGTACATAGTGTAAGGTAAAGCTTTAAGAGGTAGGTGAAGTGAATCCAGGGACAGCTCACGTATTCTCAGCTACCAGCCACAAAAGTCACCCATGCTGGCAGCATGTACAGGATGGACACCAGATAAACCCGAGCACATGCTCACGAGAACAAGGAGGCAGGGTTAAGGGTGCTCACCCACTCTGACGAACAATGTGTTACAAGCCCTGAACGCAACTTTGGTTTACATTCAACACAGAAACTACTTTTAAAACAGTTGCATTTTTTTTTTCCCTAGCTCAGTCTGGTGAAAAAGTTGAACGCCGAACAAAGCTTCAGCCATGTCACAAAGAGTACTTTGAGGGACGACACTGGTCACTAACCACTGAAAGCACTGTCTGTTGGAAAACACGGTTTTAATAGATATTCTTCATCTTACATCAGAGCACAATAAATACACCATATTCTATAGACATGTCAGATCACTAAAGTAAGAGGTGAAGGAGGGAGAATATCAATAGACTACGTAACCATACCCCTGAATTGCGTGACAACACACTCCCTACTGCAACCACTACAAGCTGTCATTTACACACTTGAGGTTAGTCTCGTCAAAAGCTTTCAGGCTTTTTTTCCTCTCTGTTTTATTTATTTATTTATTTATTTGTGAGGGAGAGGGCTTGGGGAAAGGAAGAGAATACAGATACAAAAAATTAAGGGAAGCAAAAAGTTGGGTTCCCAGAAAAGATGCTGGACGCCCAGGCAAGATGCATACACAAAAAATGAGGATGAGAAGGAAGTTACCAATCACCTCCCTTCCCTCCAATAAAGAAGCTTTGTTACTATTTAAGCAGACCAGTTGCTCAAGCAAGTAGCTTAATAAAGCCTGTAGAGAAAACCAGTGACATGAGGTGCTAGCTGCAAGTGGTTAAGCAAACATCAGCCGATGCAGATGCTGGCTGCAAGAGTGGTTCTCTACACTGGTATGTCATGTTAACAGAGGGCAGGAATTAAGTTAGAAAACTGTGAGGCCTAACATCTAATGATGATGAGCAGCAAAGAGAAGTTAGCAGATACTCATAATTAGTGCTGTCATTTGTGCACAACCTCCTACTTGGTTATGTTTATTTCCATGAAAATGCCTATCAATGTATTACTCAAACTACAGTTAAAACAGTTGCATCAGAGACTTTTTTCTAAGTCACTCCAAATGCGATTTCATATTAAGTAGGACAGGTAAGGTCACCCACGTAGCACAAGCTAACAAAAAAAAGTCACTAAACAGAAGCAAAAAAAAAAAAAAAAAATCATCTTGTGAATTCCACTGTTTAATCTGTCAGACTGGCAAGGACAAATTGTCAATTGCGGTTTCAATTTTTTTAAATACGATTGTCACATTAAAGAAACAAAAACACAGAAAAATAAACTGTACAAAGGCAAAGTAGAATAACAAAAAATATTTTACTAAATAAGATTTACAGATTTTCCAGATAAGCCATACAAAATGGTCACAAGCTTCTTCTTGGAGGGATTTTTTTTTCTACACTCAACAGCAGAATCACAATATTATTAGTGAAGGTGACGGATGTTTAATGTTCCCGGGTTTTGTTCAAACAACGAAGCTTGTCCATCTACAGTGTCTAAGTTAGACTGGGCTAGAGGGTATATTCTAAAGTATAACTCGTTAGCTGCTTTTACCAATGCAATTAGCATCACCATAAAAAGGGAGGAGGAGCCCACAAAATTAAAACGAAAAGCCCCGCAGCTAACCCTGCCTACCTTCATTCACAGTGCTTATACTTAAACCATGGGAAAAATGATTCAAAGCAGAGATGTGCTGCTGCTTTCAAACAACTTCACACAACAATCCGGATGATACTTCTAGCCTCTGCTCATGCGGTACAACAGTGAATTAGGACAAGACACAGATTTGCTAATGTGCATTTAATCACCAAGGGACTGAAGATGCCTGGGCTTTTATTCTGTAATGTTTCTAAGACTGTGTCCATTAAATGCAAACAAAAAAGGAAGAGGTCTTGGCAGAAGGGATGCACACTCCATTTTCAAAGCGCATTTAAATATTATTCATGGCATATAGCCTAGTCCATGCTCTCGCTGTAAAGAAAAAGAAACACATTGAAGAAATGATTACTTTTATAAAGCCCGAAAAAGACATTTTAAAAGACCTGAGTACACAAAATGCATCAGTTCTGAAATTTTAAGTGAGTTTTGAACTCTAGCAGCTATCAACTTTTATCTGTTAGAGAAAAGGCCTGACTGCAGTGAATCCAAAAGTGAGGAGGCATAATGCAGTAATTCCTTTGAAGGAATTCTATTACATTCCATTACAAATTCCATTACAGCCTGCAACAGAAGCAGATATGGAAGAGATATACTCTCTGAAACCAGATAATCTGTTCCTTAAGCTTTAGAGAAAAAGTAGTGGTGTACTTTTATTTTACTATAACTCCAAATTAGACATGCTTGCAACTTAGGACCGTAAAAACTCAAGATAAAACAGACCAAAGGAGCTTTTCTTGTAGCAAGCCTCACAGACTTGAAAACAGACCACTGCAGACACCTTCAGGGTACTCAGACTATGACCATATGCAGTAATTGCTTCTGCAAGTTGCAGACAGAACAAGAGGTCAGGATTTACATACACCAACCAATTACTAATCAGGTACTTCCTAAAACTAGGAAAAAAGCATACGATACGTCACCTGTTTCTATGGCTTGGGCTTCATTGGTCTTCCATTGCTCCGCTACATCATTTGCTAATGGATCATCTGGATTAGGAGCACTTAACAAAGCCTGGATTGAGAGCAGAACTGTGCGGATCTGCAAAGCTGGGGACCATTTATCTGAAGAGACATTTACATCAGAATGAGCACTATATTCGCCATCACCTACAGAAACACCAAGTTTACCTCTCCCACATAAAAGAATAAGCAAGGTACTATTGAAGCAAATGAAATCTCTTAGGGTCAATTTCCAAGTTTCTATACCTCTTAAGATCAAAAGAGAAAACACAAGGTAGCACTTACCTTTCAAAATATCTAAACATATTCTTCCCAGCTTGTCTACATTGGGATGGTAAATTTTGGTCATGAAACGTACTTTAGGAGCTGCCATGGGATATTCTTCGGGGAGAAATAGTTCAAGTTTAAATGTCCCACCCTCAAAGGGGGAATCCTGTGGGCCTGCAATGACCACATGAAAGTAACGTGCATTGCTTTCATCCGGCTCTGCTTTTATGCCAGGGACCGGCTCCGCAAGCAAACGCTGCGTCTCCTGGAAGAAGAAGGAGGAGAAGAGGCAATGTAGCAGATACAACCCATCTGAAATAAACGCAGTCTACACAAACTATTTTAAAACCAGTAAGTGTTCATTATGAGCTCTTTGCCCACCTCCACAGAAATATCATTAGACAAATACCTTGAAGTCAAACACCATCTGCAGAAAGAAGAGGAGGATGTGACAGACTGGTACACATCTCCTTTTGGGTCCCTCAACCGCTGTAATAGCACATCCTTCTATAGCACAAGGTAATGGATAACAATTAAGCGGTCCTCAAATTCCTTAACTTTTGAGTAAACTACTGCCAAGCTGTTATTTTTTTTCCCCAATGTACTTAAAAGCACTTCAAAGAATGTCACAATGAATAAGCATTTCACATTTTACCTTCAACAGAAGCCCCATAAGTGAAAAGGCAAAGGGGTTAATCACTCACAGGAAGTGTTTGCAGTTTACTCCAACAAGAGCCGACTGGTTTATTATGATGAACATTTGTACTGGAATCAGATCCAGCTTCAAAGAATTTAAAGTACTATTCTGCTTCAACACAACAGATATTTTTAAGGATGTTTTGTGTATTTACACATACATACGTACACATAAATAGCTTTGGTGTGAGCACTTCCAGCCTACCTGTAACTATGCTTAAAGTCATCCTAACAAAGTGTAGGAGACAAGCAAGTTGTTCTGTAAACATCAAAATTAGGAAATCCTGCTTTCCCCTGGGGATTTCTATTCTTAGTTGATCAATTATTCCATGTAGAGCACCAGCCCCACCTCAGGCATCACACTGTGACCACAGCTAAGAGCTGCCCACGTTGTGACCATCCATCCTGGTAACACACCGAGCATACAGACCAACCAAGCCCAGCTCATCTTTCTCTCCCCTGCTGCCAGCCATCACAAGTCTCACAGGCACCATTCTACTCCTTCTTATATTAAAAAATAAAAAAAACCAAAACCAACCAACAATACACACCAAGCCCAAAACAGGCAAAAGAACATCAGGCCAGGACAAGAAGTTCTACAGAAGCTTCATTTCCTCGGGTAATTTTAGCCCCCTTTCCTTCCTTTCGTCTAGTTTGTTTTTACTACCTACAGTTCATTTTTTCACCACCTTTCTACACTGGTTTTCACAAAGCAAATATTAATTTTTTACTCTTTCTACTGATTAAAAATGGTAACTTACAGTTGTAGTATTAATGTGTTAGTCTAGTTTTATAGCACATTTATTCTGTGTCTCTACAACATCATCAGTAAAAGCACAAAAGAGATTACCTCTACTTGGTTTAATACATTCTTCAAACATAACTGGACTGTTACAATACTGACCTTTTGTAGAAATAAATTCACACAGCATGTAAGTGAGATGGCTGTTAAATAACACCTCACTTCAGCAAAAAATTATCAAATATGTAATATAAAGAAGTCACAGTAATTAATGCTGAGATCCAGTTAGTCATCTTGAAATTGTCACAGTCCTATAAACCATAACACTAAAGTTATTACTAGCTACATACACAAACATAAAAACAAGCGTATTTGGTCTAATTCCTTGTTGTGACTACGTATTGCCTACTTATCTGGCTACTGGCTTTAGCTGCCAGTGCCACTGCAAGGCTACGCAAGCTTCTCAGAGGTGTCTACACTCACTTCTGCAAATATATTTTAAATTGTACACAGAAATTTGCAACATACTCAGAATTTGTATTCTGCTGGCTATTTACTCGTACAGTAATTCGGTAGAAAAGCAGCTGTAATAAATACTTAAAGCTTTAGTTCACTGGTAGAGAAGTCAGTAAGAAACTATTGATTACACCTTTAAATGCATAGAACATTCTCTGTTTCTTTCAGCAAGTTTTCAGGACAAGTGCTGCTGCAGGTAAATGGGACAATTTGGATTTCCACCTGTGAAGGACCAGATACTTATTTACAGTTTGACAGTTTGGGGAAGAAAGCATCTTATGCCAAACAAAAACTAATACACCCTGAAATTAAAGAAGAACCAAAACCCCAATTTTTAAACACTTTCACAGCTGCTACCACTTGGATTTTGCCAGATACACACTAGTAGGCAAATCCTGGATATGTTTCTTATAGGTATGCTGAAATGGCCAAAAAAAAAAAACAAAAAAAAAAAACAAAAAAGCCAGTCTTACCTTTAAATATTAAGGGTAATACATTTTAATAGCCGGGCTGATCTCAGCAGCCCATAGCCCCCACACTACCTCCATCGTTATACCAGTATGCTGACTGCAGCCACACAGGGCAGCCAATCCTGGCTTAAAGTAACCCAGACTCAGCAGTTCTGTCGCAGCAGTATCAGCACTTCTACCTGTCGGCCTAACTGCGGGAGCAAGGCCTGGCTGCGAGCTGCACATCCCACCACTGAAAAACATTTGTCAATGAACAATGAGAGCGCCCATGGATGAGAAAAACGCTGCTTCTAGCTGAGGTGCCACGGTGCCACTGCTGGTACGTCATCGCGTCCAGACAGCCCTTCATGCCTCTACCTTACATGGATGTGGCTACCTTGCTATGAAACACCACAGAAAAGGGGAGGGCAAAGAAAGACATCTATGCTGCATCCAGCTACACCGGTGCCGAGGCTACTCGGAGCACGTCCTGGGCCCCTGTGGAACACTGATACCAGATGCAAAACGCTTTACGCAGGCACGCCCTGCCTCCTGCGCCGTGCGCAGGGCCCCACCGCTGCAGCGCAACTGAAGCTTGTTCAGCCAGAGGTGAGGAGGAACACGGCTGGGGGCCACCCAGGGCAGAGCCATTGCATAGCTATAGTTTTCAGTTCTTGGGGAAGTCAGGAGGGGCGTCAGTAAAACTGACACCTTGGACCTCCAGAGGGCAGACTCTGGCCTGTTCATCAGGAGACTAATTGACAAAGTCCCTTGGGAGGCAGCCTGAAGGGTAAAGGAGTCCAGGAAGGCTGGACATCCTTCAAGAAGTAAGTCTTAAATGTGCAGAAGCACTTTATCCCAATCTGCTGAAAGATGAGCCGTTTCCACAAGAGGCCTCACTGAACAGCAAGCTTTGGCTGGAACTCAGGAACAAAAGGAGAGTTTATGATCTTTCCATCATTTACCACCAGCTCTGGCTAACTGGGGAGGTCCCAGTGGAATGGAGGGTAGCAACTGTGATACAAGAAAGGCCGAAAGGAGTATCCAGGGAACTACAGACCTGTCAGTCTGACATCAGTGCCAGGGAAGGTCATGGAACAGACCATCTTGAGTGCCATTATGCACCATATATAACACATCAAGGTGATCAGGCCCTGTCAGCATGGGTTTATGCATGGCAGGCCCTGCTTGACAAACCTGATCTTCTGTGACAATATGACCTGTCTGGTAGGTGAGGGAAAGGCTGTGGATATTGTCTACCTGGATTTCCATAATGCCTCTGACACTGCTTCTCACAGCATTCTCATGGGGAAAAAAAACCCACACCGCTTATGGCTTGGATGGGCACACTCTCTGCTGGGCCAAACGCTGGCTGGATGGCTAGGCCCGGAGAGTGGTGGTGAATGGAGCTGAATCCAGCTGACAACCAGTCACAAGCTGGGGTCCTCAGGGCTCAGTATTTGGACCACTTCTGTTTAACAGCTTCAGCAATGACTTTGATGAGGAGACAGAGTGCATCCTCAGTGAGTTTGCAGACGACACCAACTTTGGTGGGAGTGTTGATCTGCTTGAGGGTACGGAGGCTCTGCAGAGAGACTTGGACAGACCGGATCAAGGGGCCATGGTCAATTGTATGAGCTTCAACAAGACCAAGCGTCAGGTCCTGCACTTGGGCCACAACAACCCCATGCAACACTACAGGCTTGGGGAAGAGTGGCTGGAAAGCTGCTCGAAAGAAAGGGACATGGGGGTACTGATCGACAAGCAGCTGAATATGAGCCAGCAGTGTGTCTGGGTGGCCAAAAAGGCCAATGGCATCCTGGCTTGTATTAGAAATAGTGTGGCCAACAGGACAAGGAGGGGCTGAGGGGAGACCACCTTGTTGTCTACAGCTTCCTGAAAAGGTGTTGTAAAGAGGAAAGTGCTGGTGTCTTCTCACAAGTAACTAGTGATAGAACAAGAGGGAACAGCCTCAAGCTGCTCCAAGGGAGGTTTAGATTGGACATTAGGAAGACCTTTTTCACTGAAAGGACAGTGAGGCACTGGAACATGCTGCCCAGGGAGGTGATTGAGTCACCATCCTTGTATGTGTTTAAAAGCCATATAGCTGTGGTGCTTGGGAATATGGCTTAGAGGTGGACTTTGCAGAATAGGATCAATGGTTGGACTCAATCTGAAAGGTCTTTTCCAGCCAAAGTTATTCTACAATTCTACTTGAAAGAAATCTGTGAGGGAATTTGTTGACACTTATCTTTCATACCTGCCAGGCTCTGATGCAGCCTTCATGCTGAGAGAGCAAGCACCAGGCTAAACTTCTCTGACCCACATAAAATGATAGGTCGTGACTGCTGTGGACACACATCAGTACCATTTTATGTAAAGGCTGGATTTTTACAGAAGCACTGGTACACAAAAGGCATCTTTTTATAACTGTGTAACAGACAAACTTGTTAGACTATGAAAAACACAAGAAAAATTCCCTTTATTAAAAGAATGTGAAATATTTGTACTTAAATACATCAACAGCACCTGCTAAACTGACAGTAAATAATGCTTCTGCCCTTCAATTAGGAATACATTTATAATAGTTTCTTCGGTAAGTACTGGGGGAAACCACAGAAACGGAACAGAAAGGGAAAAATTACTCAGAAAGTTAAATTTTAAAGTCTAAGCATATAAAACACTTATTAAAGTCTATGCATATAAAATGCTTAAACATACAAGTAGATCCAGTCCTAAGGTGGTATCAAGGACTTGACTTCCACGCCTTACAGTAAGGTGGCCAGTGGAAGACATGCTGATAGTAAAATCAAGTTGATTTGCCCTAAGACTTGGAGAAAATAGTAATTTTTAAGATAAACAGTTGTCAGTATACAGGGCACCCCATCAGGAAACTAAACTGTGTAAAG